GATAATTCTTTAATAATGTGAAAAATTATTTTTCTTTTATTCAGAATATATGAAAAAAAATATATTTATTACTATATTGGTTTCTATCTAATAACTATGTAAATTATATAAAAGTTCACATAAAAAGAAAATGATTTATGACGAATAGCTAATTTTCAGCTTTTCGCAAAAATTAAGCTACATATTATATTTAATATCCCTATGGACTAATATGTTAAATAGATTTATAAGCTAATTGCACATATATATATTCAACGAAATCAGGATGCAGAAATTTCAAGAATATTATGATTTAAATTTAAAGTAAACCTTAATAATTATAAAAATAATTTATCGTCCTGTAAAGAAAATAATTTGTAATTTTTGTTTGGTTATTTATGATACGCTAATAACTTAATGAATACTTATAGAAAAATGTTTTCATAAAATAGTTGTATTAAATTTAGAAAGAATTTAGTTGTACATTTTCAAAAACATTGGACAATCATATAATTATTAATATTAATATAAATATAAATTTATAAATAATAATATAACTGAAATATATTATGAAATGTATTGTAGTAGAGAATCCAAATTGTTCAATTATGAGAAAACTAAAAAAGCTCCTATACTCAATGAAACAATGTATCATGCTGAGGGTATCATGTTTAAATCAAGATGAAAGAGATAAATTCATTTATTAAATCATTTATCTCCAGAAATCCAATTTAATTATATATAATTCAAAATAACAGATAATCATGATATAATCTATAGAGCTTCTTCGCTTGGGGGAATATATATATTTCGACTTATTTATAGTGAAAAATAAGTATAAAAATATATATGTATTATGTTTTTATTCAAAAATAATGTTAAAAAAATATGTATAAAATTGTTACTTTATAAATGTAAATTATAATACACATTTTACATGTATAATTATCGCCATCTTTACGTTGCTTAAATGTACAAGGCGTAATAAATAAGAAGTAAAATATCATTTTCCTATAAAAAGTTGTAATTGTAAGGTGATTAAAGAATTAATTAGAATATATGGAAATAGATATTACAAACATTGTTTATGTTTATTATGTATTCCTGGAACAAATTACTTATTAAAATATAAGAATGAATTAAAGCATAATAGACCATCTATATGCGCATATGTAAAAATAAAACTTTTTATTTTTACTTGCATATAGGAGCATTATTATATACTTTAAAAAAAAATAAATAAATTAGTAATAGTGTATATAATTCTTGTGGAAATATATTATATCCAAGAATCGAAATAGTTAGAATTTATAATTATTTATAACAATAAAAAATCATAAAGATAGTTCTTTATGTCCATCCATAATATAAAAATTATATTATAAAAAATAAATGTAATGCTTAAAGAAAAGACCAGATTAAATAAATTAAATATGATTATAAAAAAATTTGCATCTATATGACTTATTTATATTGCTATTAGTAATTTGAAAATTGAATTTCATTATAGTTAATCACAAAAAAATAATCATTTCACTCGATAAATTTCAATATGCTAAAATAATATATTTTATGTTTAACAGAGTTTATTTTTTAAAAAGTAACACACTTAGTTAAAAATATTAAAACACAATATATAATTTATTTGATATAAATCTGTAATTTTGATATTGTATATTTAATGAATTTTATCTTTTTTATATAAACCTAATTGATGCATGTATAAGACACTTTTGTATTAATTTGAAGACTAATATCCTAGAAATTCTTGAATATAATCATATTGATTTTCTTAGATAAAATGTGACATATTATGTGTTAACTTATTATTGGCACAACAATCCATGATATTATTAATGCATGTATCAGTCACACAATCAAGGAAAATGTAAATTTGTTTTAGAATTATATGCAAATCCTATTCTATTAATGGATAATTTATAATCACTGCACTAAATAATTAGATTACAGAATGGAATATCAAAGTAAAATTTTTTTAGGTTAATATTTCATAAAGAATTTTTTTTAAATATATATATTTAAATATGACGTAAATTAAAAAAAAATAAGAATAAAATAATTCCATTTTTCATAACCATAATAAATATTGATATATATTAGTTGCAACAAATTATATAGTTATACACATTAAATTTTTATTAAGCATACAACAAATATTCCATAAATAATTCTATATGTTTAATACACAATAATAAATAATTTCATAAATATATATTACATAAAAATATAACCTACATAATGTATTATTGATTTTAATAATATAAAATATTGTATGTTTTACTGTGTTATATGTATAAATAAACATACTTATGGATTTTTAATAATTGGATATAGACGTTAATATTTTTCATAATATCAATTACGTAGGCACATTGATGATAATATACAGAAATAAGAAACGAATGGTAATATTTCATATTATTCAAATATTTATGTCTCATTTCTCACCAATATTAGATCTTCTTGTTATTAATATTTATATGAAATGGTATGAGTAATTCGGTATTGATTTTGTTATAAAACATATGTTTCTTTATATGCACTATATATATTTTGGAGAAAAATCTTTTAATTTATAGGATTATTAATTTATAGGTCAATGTATATTCATATATGCTTATATAATTTTTGCTATTTTTCACACTCAAAGCGAATATGGGTGCATAGATACTTTTTTATTATATTAATTTAGTATGAAGCAATATATTTTAAAAATTATAACAGTAATAATAAATTATTGATACATATTAATATATTTAATGCGTACTATGATATCAAAAAATATAATAAATTTTTACAAGATAATAAAAAAAATTTATATATATACCAACATATTCAGTATATTGTAAATATACGTAAACATTTCTTTTAATAATGTAACTCTAACAAAATTTTTGATTTATGTATGATGGAAAATATATTTTCATTACACGGATTTTTTCTTTATAGTTTGTCTAACCATGTATATATGATAATGAAATATATTAGTTATAACAAGCTTGAAAATGTATAATAATTAAACATTTTAAAAAATGTATTGCTTTAGTTAAATTCAGTATAAATAAAAAAATATGTAAATCATTATGTTAAATTTTACAAATATTTTTATTTACAAAAAAAAAGAGAAATATATTTATACAGTGAGATGGAGAAATTGTTAATTTCATTATAATATCATTGAGAAATATAGAACATAAAGATAAATTTTAAATAATAAACCCAAAATATTATGGAAGTAAATCTTGTATATTAATTATATGCCATAATAATGTTGTCATGTGTTGAAAAAAAAGAGGATTTCTAAACATAATAGTCTTTTTGTTAAAAAAACATATTTGGAATTATATAAAAATGCTATTTATTTTTTAGATAATATTTGCTCATATAATTATATTATTCAAAATTTTTTTAATATGAAATAGAAACTAGAAATGAAAAGTAATGAAAAAAAAAAATTTCTTAACACGTTCTCATATTAAATATGTCACAGAATATTTGCAACCTTTTGAATTTATTTATGAGATACAGGAAGAACGCAGATGCATATTATTAAGCATAGTAAGAAATATGTATGATAAAAAAATATACATTTATACATACAGTCACAAAAAAAATTAATTATGTACATTTAAAAATGGATACAATGTTATTATAATTCTTTATTATTTATTTCTGTTATATTCATTAAAAATAATACCCATAATTGTTGTTTCTATGTTAATTATATCATCTATGAATTTATAATTTTTTAAATGATTGCAATATAGATTAATTTATTTATATAGCATGATTCTTAATGGATATATGTCTAACGCATGTATGTGTAGTGTTATACATAGTATTTTTAGTATTGCGTTATAATATGAGACATACGCTGTATTTTATTTTTTGATATATTATCAGTGACTAAAATATATTTACCAAGTCTAGGTTTTGTACTCTATGCTTATATTTTTTTAACTTATCTTTAGCTCTATGTTATACGTACAATATGATATGTATAAAAAACATAAGTTATACAACATGAATTATATGAAGTATTAGATTAACTAATTTAAACTTTTTATACATTAATAAATGTATAAATATACATTATTTTATAAATACTATAATTACAAGCAACTTATTTTAGAATAATAATAACATATTTTAAACAAATAACTTAGATAACAAAAATTTTAATTGTTAATATAATAATGTAATTCTATTATATTTGTGATTTATAATATATATGGTAACTGCATGTAAAATTTATGGTATTTAAGACTCTCTAAATCGATATATATGTTATTCATTACATGTTCTTGAAATATGGAATTTAAATTATTAAGGATTGATAAAATAAATATAGGAATGATTTAGTATTATGCTATTTTGTACTATTTAAATATGAATATTTGAAATATATTATAGTTATATTAATAGTATCTATGAATCTTCAAAAACATTATTGTGTTCATAATTAAAAATTAATACCTTGAAAATTAAAATTTTTTTTATTTATACATGATTTTGTTTCTTATGATTGTACTTTTTTAAATATTATAACATCATTTATTTCCTTTATTTATTACACATACAACTCATTTCTTTTTATGTTATATATAATATATAATTATTAACTTTGAAAAATATGAGTAATAAATGCTGATAATGCATTCGATTTGAAAATATAGATTTGAAGTCATTTAATTATAATATAAAATATCATATATTTCTTTTCTCTTGTATTATTTATTAATTTTTTGTATTTCTTATTAGCACGCATAGTTATTTTTCATTTTATAGAAATGTTTATAAATGGATTATACATTAATGTGCTTAAATTAAAAAAAAATGCTAATTCTATTTTTCTTTTTTACATTTTTTTCATTAATTTATATATTTCTTGTTTTATATTTTCTTTTTGTTCAAATGTTTATACTCATAATAAATGCTTTTGTTGTACTAATTAAAACAAGTATGTTTATATATTATTTTTTATTATAAAATTTTTAGTACTATTCTAATACGTTATATGATATATCCAGACCTTTATCTATATATTCTTCGTATTTACAATCAAATGAGCTTATTAATGTGAATTTCTTTTTTCTTTTTTTGTTCCAAAGTTCCTTTAACTTCCTTATCCTTTGTTGTAAATATAAACGACTTGGAGTATACTGACAATAAAGATGAAATGTTGTATTTTTATTCATATATTAGGGCCTATTTTTATGTTTATTTATGCGAAAATTAAATTTTATTGTATTATAAATTTCATAAGTTTATTAAAATTATTAACCTTATACAAAAAAAATGGAATTACTGGTAATGAAAGAGTAATAATAAATAAAATTAAAATAACCTTTCGAGCACTTATACTATAGAAGGAATGTGCGTGTTCTGAGGCATATGGGGAAGAATGCATGTGTTTTGATGCATCCAAGACATCATGGTTCATATGGATATAAGGTTTATATTCTTTTTCAACAATTTTTTGCAATTCTTGTAGACTATTATTTTGTATACTCTTACATTTATGTAAAAAATCCTTATAATTATTAAAACAGCTACTGCCGAAATTACATATACTACTGTTATTTTTTAATTTTTTAAGATAATTATACAATGAATTCAGATAATTCAATATTGTAAATATATCATCTGTAAGATCAATTATATCATCTTTACATTTATCCATATCAACTTTTTTATAATGTTTATATATTTCCATCATTTTTTGGTAACACAATTTTTCTCCATTACATGAAGTTTTATAATTTTTTAATTCACTTTTTAGCACGTAGTTAAAATACTTACAATATGGTTTTATATCCCTTGTTTCTTTTTCTTTTATACTATCTAAGTAGTTACTAAGAACAACACAAATACTATGAAAACTATCTCCCCATATATTAAATTCACTATTAATCTTAATGCATGCCGTAAAAAAAGTATCTGTTTCATAATTTCTCCCAATTTTATCTTCAATCACATTAAAGTTTTCAATAGATGTAGGAAATATACCATTAAAATCGAACTAAAAACAAATATAATAATGTATAAAATAATATTAAATTATATATTTCTAAAGTCATTTATTACTTTTTACAAACTCATATATATTCTATCTCAGTAAAGTAAATTTAAAATTTGAAGACAAATAATAATATACATCAATAATCAATGGATTAGAGAAACTCATATTTTAAGTATTTATAATAATACAAAAAATTATTGAATTGAATAAATTTTTATGTGAATAAAATCGAATAATTTTTATTTATTATCAGGAATATACTATAAAATAATACATAAGAATATATGGTAAATAAATTGAATTTATTTATATATACATTACACTACGGGAAAATTTAAATAAATTTTTGTAAATATAAGAAGGATTGTACATATATATATTAATATTTACACTTTATTATAAAAATTTGGAATCTGTCTAAATTAAACAAATATTATTGTAAAACATGTTTTACTAATATATATATTTTTTATTTAAATTTTTTTTCTATAATTTTCATGTTAAAATAATAAAATATATATGTTCCAATAATGTTTCAATATGCTGCAGGATTCAAGATATGTTCTTGGGTCAACATTTTGTATTTCCTTAAAATTACATAATTTTTTGTCATATAGGATTAACTTATTTTTTTATATATTCTGTTTTATGTGTGTGCTTCATGATTTTTATATTTTTTCAAAAAGAATTTTTGTGTTCATATTTTCATTTTTTGCGGAACATAGTATTTATGTTCTATATATATCATAGATAATATTTTAGTATAATTTTGTATAATAGTGTATATTAGATAAATTTATTTTTATATTATAAATATATATATATTTTTTATTTTTAATAAATATATATAGCAGTATTTATTTGTTGCATAATATAATATGTTTATAAAATAATGTGTAATGATTTTAATTCCTTATTTTTGGACTTAGTTACGGATTTCAATATGATTACCTAAATATGAAACTAGAGAGAATATATAATGTTTCATTTTTTTATCAGTAAATAGGTCAAATGTATCAATAATTTTATCGTATAACAGATTGTACCACATATAACAGTTTGTAGTATTTATTAAATTTATTTTTTTAAAATATTTGTGTTTGTTCATAAACTGTTCTTTACAACTCCTGATGTATATATACAAAAGTACAATTAAAACATAATTATTATAAGAAAAAAATATTTTAATATAATGTAATACATAATGCTGTACAATATTTAATTTATATACATATTGAGTTCATCACAAGGTATTTTATTTTTTTCATATATGTATAAAAATTTGTTTAATTAACAATTAATATCATAATAATTAATTATGTATTTCATTTAGTTTATGTAAAAATTGTTTTTTTTTTAATGTATAATTTCTTCATTACTAGATTAAAAAATTAATTTAGAAATTTCTGTCATGTATATTACATAGTTATCAAAAATATATTATAAATATAATATAAAAAATAAAAATTATATTTATTTTATACATGAAATTATCCAAAATCATAGAGATTGCAATATTATTGTGCGAGAATAGCATTATCAATTTTCCCACAAGTTTTCGTATAATTTTTTATTTTCAGCTACAATAACAATAATAAAATCCCTAATATTTTTACAAGTAAGTGATAATTATTGCTATTATGAATGGATTATATGAAATTTCTTATAAAAGAACAGAATTCATGTTTTTTAATGTATTCTTAGAAGGTTTAAATATTTGAATACATTTGTTTATCATACATATTAATTAAAAAAATATGAGATATCTATATATAATTTATTTAGACAAGTTATATAAATAATTTTATTTAAAGAAGCAAACATTATAAAAAAAGGTTTAAAAGAGAATGTGTATTATCATATAATTTTATTACCTAATGGATATTATAATAACATTAATAATATTTATATAACAATGAAAAAAATGAATTATAATGAATCAATTATTCTCCTTATATATATTTAACCAGATTATGCATATAAACTGGTATTTATAACTACAAATATGTTTATTTCGGATATTTCCAATTATGTTTTATGGTATTTGTTTTATATCATATACGATGTTAAACTTATCATAAGCTTTTATTTTATTTGGTAAGCATTTACCAAATATAAAATGTTAATTAATGAATAAAGCATACTCTATAAAAATATTTAGTGTCCTTTATTATTTTTTTTTTTAATCCATAAGAGACAATCCAATTAAATTATTAATGTTAAAAACCACGTGTACAACCAAGGGAACAATATTTTCAGATTGAAATATTCGTATGTTGTATATCATTATTATTATAAAATAAAATTAAATATATTTAAAACTTAATTTTATGAATTAAAAAAAAAGAAAGAGTAAAGATAAAAATAGTGTTATAATTGTGCTCATGAATAACCTAATAATATAGGATATATATAAGTTCTGTATCGAATTTTATTCTACGTGTACATAAAAAAATATATTGCATAGTTTAACATTATATATATTATGATATATTTAAATAATTATTTTCATTTATTAAGTCAATATCTATATTATGTTTACATAAATTACCATATGTTCATTATTTATAAGAATATTTTCCATAATCGGAGCTATATTTTTAAATGTTCTTATATCTACATTATTATATATTGTATTAAATCTAGACGTAACACGTACTAAATGTGATGCTTCACTATTCTTATCATTATAATTGGAATTTCTAAAATATATAATTATTTGTATTATTCGCTCTAACTATATATAGAAAATATTTTAATAATATATTTATTGTAATTATTAGTAAGAAAAATTAAAAGAACTAAAAAGGAATACTATATTTTCTGTTTTCCATAATATGTATAATTTTATATTTTTATTTAAAACATATTAGATAGGTATATTTTTCTAAATTTTTATATCATCTATAAAAGAAAAATTAAAGAAATACTCAAAATTATGAATTTTTAAAATAACTAAGAAGAGAAAATATTTTATCATTGAAATATTTTGAGATTTAGAACATATTATATTAGTATACTTACAAATATCTAGGATATAGACTTACACAGTTATATGTTTATAGTTCAACTTAATTGGATTAATATTTATTCTTAAAAGTCTACATATATTATAACAATTTCAATATAATTTTTAGGTCTCTAAACTATATATTTAATCTATTATATTGAAGAATCAGCGATGCTGAAAAATAAAATCACAATAATATGTAATTAATTTCATTTAAATATATAAGCATATTGAACAATCTTATTTTTTCTAGTATTCAAATCTACATATATTTTTATATTCGAATTTATTTTTCAGAATGGTTTTACTATATATATGATACAATGAAAATACGTATAAAGTGATTAGGATCATTTAAAGAGATTTTTATACGTATATATATAATGGATTCACTGCTTATAGATTGCTTCAAAAATATTTTGTTCTAATAATTTTTTTTAAATATATGTGTATTAATGCAGTTAACACAGAAATTATTAATATAATAATGAGTAAATTTGTGAAACTTGTAAAATTCTTAATAAATTAAAATATTCATAAAAAATAAATAGTGAGTTAAAGGTAATATAATCAATATATTACTATATTCTGTGAACAATTATGCTTTTTTGTTCAATAATTATTTTGTGCATAGGGTTATGTTCCAAATAAATATGCCAAAACTTTTATTTCAAATAGAAAATTATTTTATTAAATATGCATGTTTCTCAAGAATTATATTACATAGAAAGCACAAAACTTTCTGTTTCATTTGTTTGTTTAAAATCCTGTGGGATTTATATACAGATATTTCTTCAATATTCAGTATTTTTTTTTTTTTTTTTGTTTATTTTATTATAATCTTAATATTTACGCTTGTTTTTCTGTGCGCTTTTATTATTACTCTTATATTAGTATTACATAAAAACAATAAACAAAAGTTTTCACATGAAGATATTATTATGTTATCTGTATTTTGCGTCAATTCTGTATTATAGGCACCATAAGTATATATAAAAATATTAATGCATATAAGGATGAATATTTTATAATGAAAAAAAAGAATGTATCAAATTAAAATATAAAAAAAAGTGTAATAACTCCTAATGAATATGAATTATACGGAATGCTTATAATAACGGACTATATAAAAAATAAATTATAAGGATATTAGAAAGGATACATTATTTATAAATACATATAGCAATATTTTATATTTTTCTAATACATTATGGACGAAAAAAACATATAATGATTTTTCCTAATATTGTAAGAATTAACGTTCCTACAATATTATTTAATGTTTTATTCCTTAATAATATATTCTATTTTTTTCTCTAACTATAAATTAGCCTTTAAAGCATTTTAAGGTATAGATTATTTTGAGTAATGTTGATTATAATGTACAATAATTTTTCATACCATTTATAAAAAAAAACTATAAAAGCTTAAATTATACATAATTATTATAGGCAAAAGGACATGAATAAATGAAAATCATTAGTGTTGAGGAATTAACGATTGCTCATTCATGCTTATGTTCCTATTTTCAGTGATAACGTTCTGTGGGCTATTATTGAGTTATAATTATGATTTCAACTTTAAATTTTAGACAGACATTATTTCTTCTTTTTATTATTCTTG